GAAACAAACACTGAAATATTTCTCTCTGTTGGTTTTCTGGCTTGCCTTTCGTATCTTAGAACTGGTTGGGACATTTCACTCATTATTACCAGACTTGGTTTCAGTAACATTTGCTGGTTTGCTGCTGTGGTTTGGTATTCTTAGACCTAAAACCTGTTTTGTTCTTTTGATAACCCTAGGAAATCTGTGTCGTATTTAAATAACTTTTTTCTAGTACCTTTTCATCAGGCAGTGCACAGATTGTTAACAAGCGTTTACTCCACACATTCCAGCCAGCGCTGCAGTCGCTCCATGAGACGCTTCTGTTGTGAGGCTGGTTGTGTTATTTATCAGCCCAGCACAGCCTTCACTGCCAGTTTGCTGCCAGCTGTTAACTATACAATAGCGTTGGGAACAAAATCAGTTCTGGCTCTGCCAGCAGAGTTGGACATAATTCAGCTACCTGTTGACAAATGATGATTTGTTTAACAGCATAAACTATAATATTTTTGTAGCCAAAAGTTTTCACATTCCTCTGCAGCTGGTAAAAAAGCCTGAGGAATTCCCAGAAGTTCCTCACTTGTGTCTTTTTCAAGTTTTCTTACAGCACTGCCTTGTATTGTTGTCTCTATGCAGGAAAAGACATCCTTAATGGGCAAAGCAGTGGAGTCTGCATGCTGCTGGAACAGGGCAGCTGCATTCCTTGGTGCCACTTGGCTGCTAGGCTGGGCTCTGAAGCAGCAATGCCCACTGGACAGTTGGGCTGTAGGGATGCTCCAGGACAAGCCAGAGGCCTGAAAACAAGCCAGGGTTTCTGTAGAGCATTAATCACCCCGTGCAGGGCTGGGCACTGGTAACGGGGTGAGAGTGCTCTCACAGCACACACATGGTTTCTATCTAAGCTTTGTTTCAGCTGGATCTTTCCCACTAACGCATCCTTCTTTAACACCTTGTACTCATTTACTGCAGGGCTGTTTAGCAGCACAAATCAATTAAGTGCTGCAGAAACCCACTGAGACAGGGAGAGTTCCCTGTCTCTGGTTCAGCCAGGGTGGGAGGCATGCAGAGGTTAAGCCTATGCTTTTTGCCACACAGGGAGTGAGGGTGGAGCATGGAGCAGCCCCCAGCTCATCTCTGTGGGTTTCAGCCCTCCCCAGCACCCTCAGGGAGACTCACAGCTGCTCCAGGAGACTTAAGGGTCTTGAGGAGCTTCTCATCTGGCATCAAATAATCAGAGAACTGGAGAATGCCAGCCCTGCTGCCATATCCCACTGAGACTGGCCAGGAAGCCTCACTGAGCGGGGCTGAGCAGTCCTGAGGTACCCAGCTGTGTCCTGTAACAGGGACAGGGTACCGTGAGGGCCTCCAAGCTCACCTGCATGTGTCTCACAGGTTTGTCCCTCATGAAATTGTCCATACCTGCTGGGGAAATCACTGCTCAGCGGTAGCCATATCCCACTGAGACTGGCCAGGAAGCCTCACTGAGCGGGGCTGAGCAGTCCTGAGGTACCCAGCTGTGTCCTGTAACAGGGACAGGGTACCGTGAGGGCCTCCAAGCTCACCTGCATGTGTCTCACAGGTTTGTCCCTCATGTCTATGCCTGCTGGGGAAATCACTGCTCAGTGGTTTAGCTACAACTGGCCAGAGGGACATGCAGGGGTTCAGGAAGTAGCAAAGTCACAAAATGTGAATGAGAACAGAGTCAGAAAAAATGAGTGGCTTTAAAATAATCATTTGGTTGGTCTTGTTCCAAGTAGCACCAGCTCAGCGTGCCAGGAAGAGCTCAGGAAGTGCCTTCCATGCTGGCCCCATGGGAACAGGATGCAGAGATGTGCCTCTGCTTCAGGCTGGCTGGAGCTGCTCGCACACAGCACAGGCTCCAGAAGCAAGAGAGAGTAATGCAAGCCACATGATACAGCTCATCCACACAATGAAGGAAGATAAAGCCTAACCAAGCAGTTCCTGCTCCTCATGGGTGTCTCTCAGGAGGGCCTGAGGCTGTGGGACATGCCCTCAGCTCACAGAGACCATTAATCATGAGTCTGTCTTGATCCCTGGCTATTTTAATCACTGTTGAAATACATACTCCTAAAAATGGTATTTGATTCCAATGCACATGATTTCCTTTGGCTTCCTTTCCCCCAATTAAGTGCAAGCTGTAAGTACTTGGAAATCCACACACTGGGATCCACAGTTTGCTTCTCACCTGTCATGGAGCAAAAACCACTTGGTGCTACATGTAGCATATGATCCGTGGCAGCAGACATAAACAGCATGTAGTGTCATGTAATGGGGCTGTGGTCTGAGTGTGGTACCAACCTGTCCTGTGCAATGGCACCTGGAAATGTCACTGGCTCCTACTGGATCATCAGTCCTTCCCTGTTCTTTATTCTGTAATGATTGAAAACCTCTTACATATGCAGGCACTAATCAGGATGTCAGTCTGTTGTCAGAGAAGTGAATGAATCATCAAAAGTGGATGAACTGGGAGTATATTTGTAAAGGGTAGGCTGTAGAAACCAGTAAGTCTTTAATTTTTCTTTTAAAAACGCTGAGCAAAAGTCTCAGGAAGTTTAAGGAGAAAACAAATTCTTCTTCCACAGGTTCAGAAGCGCAGCAGAGAGTCCTTGTACTGCTCAGCTTCTCTCGTGGGGCAGATGAGCAGCCTGAGGAGTCTGGGGGTGCCTTCTTTTGAGTGCAGACTAAATGCATCATGCCCAGCTCCATGGGCTTAATGGTGCCCTAATTTACAAACTGGGTTCCTACAGCTCTGAATTTCTCTGCATTTCTTGTCTGCATTTCTGTTGCTATTGAGCTTAAAGAACCAGTTTGAGTTTACAGACATAAAGAAAAAGTGAAGTTTACAGGAATACCAGCTTAAAAATATAAGGAACATTTTGAAGGTACACTAATCATCGGGGACCCCTTCAGTGTTTGTCACACTGAGCCAGGTCAGGGGCCCATGACACCAGAACAAATAGGCAAGAGGACTCCTCACAATTATAATGTGGGATTTAAATCATTAGACTCGACAACATTATTTACCTGGGACACCACAACTGTTTTTCTTGTATCTTTAGTATTAAAGAAACAGCACATACTTTTTTTTTTTCTTTTTTTTTTTCTTTTTTTTTTTCCTTTTTTTTTTTAAAGCTGCATGTAAAGCAGCATCAAGCTCAGTAACAAGAGGACTTTCTGTCTGTTGGGCTTCCAGGTTAAGAAGACAAACCCTGCTCCAATGACATAACAAATTTTTCAAACTTGATGTTGCAGAGAAAGGCACAGTCATGCTGTTCTAGATCAGCTGATAAGTTTGTGTGCTGAACTTGGGACCCAGGGATGTCAGCTCACTTTTCTGGGGTATTGTTTTAGTTTTTCTGTTTAAAAAGTACTAAGTATCAGCCTTTGAACCCCAGGCAATACAAACTGGGCACCAGAACAGGGTCCAGCTCATGTGAAGGTTGGCCCAGCCATCCCACTTGAGAAGTTGTAATTTCTTTCCCATCAATTCCAACAAATGTTCTCTTGGTGAAACGTGGCCAATTCTGGTCCAATTAAAAAGACAAAGCCCAGTAACCACCTGCTAAAGCTAAAGGTTCCTTGAAAGCTTGGATTTATTCAGTCTTGCTGAAAATCAAATGTTTAAACTATGACAAAAGTTTGCCTAAATAACTGTATTTCCTCTGTGAAGCAGCTATTTATTCATCAGAAACTATAGCAAAGCACCACAGGGCTTCAGTAAAAGAAATCAATAAATTTGCCTGCAAAATGTATTTCCTGCTCTGATTTTATTCCATGTATGTGTCTGACATACAATTTCTGTTTGATTGAACATACCATACTAAACTGTTCTGGACAGGAGCTGTGCACTGAGCAGCTGATAACAGTGCAAGGCATTTCAGCAAGCGTCCCCTGCAGTGAGAGATTCCTTGCAGGCATTAACAGAATTACTTGTACTTGAAGAGAAATTTTTTTCCCCTTTTCCCTGTTGGGATCTCACCCTGCACCCTTTGCTCTGTGCTGCCTCGGGTCAGTTCTTTGTGGGCAGTCACCAATCCAGATGCTCTGCACCTTCCAAGGATGGGCAAAGCAGCATCAGTGCTGCCTCAGCCTTAGTTCATCTGCTGTTACCTGTTTCTCAGAGAAAAAGTTGTGTGCATGGGAGAACCAGGGTGTTTCATTTCAATAGGATCTATTTTCATGTTCATGATGCTAGCACAGACTAGGGATGGCAACTTGAAGGAAGTCTGGGGCAGTGCTTAACAGCAGTAGAAGCTGAGGGTATCACCTGAAACTGAGTCTGAAAAAACCCATAATTGCCTGCATGTACTTTTCAAAACACCTTCATTTTAGGTATTTCTGCTTGTTTTCCAAGCTAAAGTGGAGGTGTTAAGTGGCACTGAACTTTAAAAAGAAAATTTAACCTAGTCAGATTTGTTCTTGATGTCTTAGTGGCTTAGTGTGGGCACTAAGAAATGCACTTTGGTCTGCTGACTGTGTCCTCAAGTGCTAAAGAGGGACCAGCAGGGCTGGATCCCACTGCAGGATGTGCACAAGGGATCCTGCATGTGAGCCCCTGGCCATGTACCAAGTGATCCTACAGACCTCTGCTGCACCAACCCTCCTCTGGCAGGCAGTGTGGCACCTGGGGGAGCTGCTTTGGGAACAGATCTGACAAAAACAGCACCAAATCATGGTGCTCTCCTATTTCCCACGTGCAGTCACACACATGGAGGGTTTTGTCCACAGAGGCCAGGATAACCAGGCAACTTGCAACTTGCCAGAAGGAACAAGATACATTATAAAAGCCCTGGAATAGCTTCTCAGACATTTCTATAGGCAGAGTTCTCACAGCACATAAGGAAAACATCCATTCATCAGGGTCTGGGCTGCAGGATGAACTGCAGGAGTTGTGCTGTGTGCATCCTGTTAGAAGTTCTGACTTGACCTTAAAATCCATGCGTGGCTTCTCTTCACAGTGGCAGAGCTGAGGTAGGAAGAGGCTGGGGAGGCATATTCCAGTATTTCAGAGCAAAAATGTATTTATTTTACCATATAAATATCCTGATTTAAAGTGTTGATACTAAAGATAAAAATTGTAACAGAAACTCATCCAAAAAAGTTACAAACCCCCATTCCCGATCCTCCTGTTTTCATCACAAAAAATATTCCATAGTAGTAGAGTGTTGCTTTGCAGCCTGTTAGCAGAAGAGATGATTGGGTCACTTGACTTGTAGGTGTCAGAATCAGAACAGATTAAACTAATTCCATCCACCCATCTTGCCAAGGAAACATTCAAGCCCTTTCATCTCGTTTCAGTATCCAAAGAAGACAGAAGAGTTGCTGGATACAGAATCCTTGTGGAAAGGAGTAGCAGATCTGGGGTTTCCTATGATGAGGCAGTCTCAGAAATCACTGGTGTCAAAGCAGAAAGTCCTGACACAAACAGTTCCAAAAGTGTCACATTCCTGGATTCAGCTGGCACAAGGACCCTCCTGGCTAGTTCTGTGGGGCCTTGAGCAGCCCAGGTTTCTTTGTTCCCTGCGGGTTGAACAGAATCCATCCTTCATTGATAGCGGTGCCTTCCTTGTGCCCATTGTCTGTCTTATCTGTCACTGGGACAAGGATTGCCCTTTAGGACTTGCTTACACAGCAGCTGCAATAGCTACAGCAGGATGACTCCATGTGAACACTCATTCCACAGCCACGGGATCAGCTCCTGGTTCATACCATACCTTAAGTGGAGCAGCCTCAGTGTGTCAATGTGCCTTACAAAGTTAAGCCAGACCTGGGACTCAGCTCAGGGTTTCTAGTCACTCCTCCTTTATAAAGAATTCAGCTTTAAGAAAAGCAGTTGAAATGCTCCTGAGAATGACAAATAACAAATGAGTAAATCTTGCTCCAGAGCCATAAAACCCAGTTTAAAGAAAAAAAAAAAAAAGCATGCACTCCTAATCTATTGGCATGGGCAGCATGGGCATATAAAGCAGAATTAATTGATAATCATATCAATTAATTGATAAAAATGCTAAAAGCCATAAACAAAGCCTTTTCAGAAAGGTAATAAATAAGTAATCCACACAGACAATGTGAAAGGACTGCTGCTGCTGTGGGGCCAGGGAGCCATTAATTTGTGTATCCATACCCCTAGAGTTATTAAAGGATAAAAGCTTTGAACATTGCTGCAGAGTTCAACGAAAATAAAAACTTTTACTCAGCATACAGAAGGTCTCAGAAATGCAAGTAAAGTATTAGAATGCATAAAGACGGCAAATAATTGAATATTATGGTTCTGTTTAACAAATTGCTTCTTTGCACGCAATTACTTCATCATGGTCTGAGACATGAGAGCAGGAATAAAGCTCAGAGAAAGATGCTGTGGATGACCAGAGACCTCCAATGAGTTTGCTGAAAGAAGAGTAAAACAAATTTGGGAGGGAAGGAATGGTTTGGGTAAAGGCTCTTTCTGTGGGCTTGGGGTGCATCTCTCCGGTCGCATTTATTTCTGGTGGGGGGAAATGTCAGACACAACAGGGAGGGAAAGCACTCGGCTTGTTTAATTTCTCCATCTTTGTGCTCCAGGTCTTGTGCCCTGAGCATCATGAGAAGCACATGCTCCACCCCACAGGTCACAACTCCACGTCCTTGTAGTTCCGCTCCAACAGAAACACCGTCCCAGCCTGACACCCTGCTCCGACTGCCAGCCCTCCTTGCCCAGGGCTGTCTGCCCCCGAGCTCTCCTTCCAGGCCTCCCCGTGCCACAGTTGACTATTGCAAGAACAATAAGGATTTTTAGGGGCATTATGACTGGGTTAGTAAAACACAGCTGCCCCTGAAAGTCCCTCATTTTTCTTGCTGCCGTTCAGTCGGTCCCCAGGAGGGCAGGGTCTGACAGGGTGCATTCTCTCCAGCGTGGCACACACAGCTCTGCTGATGTGCCCAGAAGTGCCCCAGCCCCAGCACCCAGCCCACATGGCAAGGGAAGGTGTGCAGCTGCCTTGCCATTCCTGAGGGCTCCTCCTAAGTGAACGCCATGCTGAGTTTCAGCGGAATGCCAGATGGCTCGTCTGTCACTCGCAAGGATGCCACCAAACGGAGCTGGCACAGCTCACTGCAGGCAGCCCTGGAACACCCCAGCCAGAGGGACAAAAGGCAGGATTACCTTGTCCTGTGGGTACTCCTTGTTCTGACACCCATGTGAGCAGGGGAACTCCTTGTTCCCCTTTGGCCAGGGGGAGTGGAGACCCCAGGGCTGACCGGCCCTACACACATCCCACACTGGGTCATACCCTGCAACCCCAGGGGCACTTGGAGCTCCCCTGGGGACTTGCAGCACTCAGGTCACAGCAGGAAAGTTCACATCCATCTGCAGCAGCAGTTGCCTTTAATTTACAAAAAAAGTGGAGAATTTTAGGGAATTACTTCTGATTTCTTAACAACTTTCAGATAAAGTAATATCTGAAGAAGATCTATACATTTCCAACTAAAAAGGGGCTAAGTATTTGGCTGGGAATTTTCAACAAGTCCTCCTGGAAATCCCAGCCCAGCCCTGCATGTTCTTAGGGCAAGGAGTAACACTTTCATTTCAATTGATCAGTATTTTGATGGCAACGGACTCAACAGCAGCTACAGGCAGATTCCCACAATTCTGCTCTGTTGTTTCCCCATGAATTCTGCCTGCAGGGAGCTGGGGTGGGCCCCATCCCACAATGGGCTTGCAAGCATCCCTGCAAGCTGTTGCCCTTGAGAAGGACTTTGTGACATGCTCAAGGACTTCCAGGAGAGTTTGTGTCAAAGCAGGGAACCCCTCAGCACTCTCAGGGCTTTTGTTATTTTCCTTCCCCTTGTAGAAAAAGCGTCACATTGGTGCCTCAGTAAGGGACCCTTTGCCAGCATCATGTTTGCAGGTGTTGCCATTCACACAAGCCGCCTCCAGGGACACACACGCAGCTGGTGTGACCAGGGATGCTTGGGGAGTCACAAAGGTCCCAGCCCTGTGCAACACAAGACAAATATCCTCACCCATCCCACATGGGATGACACTCCATGGTAACAGACAACCTGGCACCCAAAAACCCTGGAGACCCTCTCAGAACTGCACAGAGCCACACCTTATTTTCATTTACTATTTCTTCTGTAAGTCAACTGAAAGCAAGCCCTATGCCCCGATTTGGTAATAAAACATGAGCCATTATTTGGATCCAAAATTATTTGCATCTTTGAGCAAGTTACAAGAGCTCTGTAACAATAATAATAATAAAAAAAGGCAGCAGCCCTCTAAATCCTAATGACGTTGGTGTCCTAAATGAAGCATAAAAGCCAGAGCCCGCGAGAAGCAGAGCATGAGTCAGAGCATCAGCAGTCCCACACTGAAAGCAGCACTCCTGGCTGCTTCATTCATTTAAGGAATCAATTCTTTTGGAATGAGCATCAAGTAGTTTTTAGGACTATAATGAAAATGAGATGCATGTTGTTATTATTTTCGAAAGTTTTTTGTTTTTATTTTCTTCTCTTTGGATTGACAATAAACAACTCTTTGTAGTTGAGGGGAGCCCCAGGCAGGATCAGGTCCCTGCAGCAGTGGCTGCTGTACTACTATGGAAGAAAATTTGATGAGCCCCTGCCCCAGGGAGAGCACAACCTCCCCAGCAGCCCCCACCACGAGCAGGCAGAACAGACCCAGGGCACAAAAATGCAGTAACTGGAGTTGTTGCAGCCTGGGCAGGCTGTCTCACCCCCAATTTTATTTTACTGTCTTTGGGTCATTGGCAGAATTGAGTGAGGATGGATATGTGCTGAAGGGGAACACCCTCCACAGAGGTTTTGCATGTTCCCTCTTGGATTGCAAAGCCAGCACCAGGCTGTGCACTACAAGAAGAGTGAATATTGCCTAAGCTGCTCTTGGCTCCCTGCTGCCCCCGTCCCACTTCCAGATAAAGCACAATCAGCTTCTGATGATCAAAGCACACATCTCTAAGTTACAGTGATGTTAACTCAAATTATTTTTGTCCTGCTCTATCTGAAACTTAGAAAATGCAAGAGCAGAACAAAACCAAAGTGAAGGTAGAAAATTATTGCAGTTTCTAGAATTCTTCCGGCTTTAGTCATGGAAGGGGATTGTTAGAAACGGACAAAAGGCTGTTTCCCTTAATTTTTTTAAGTGTGAATTTTGTCTTGACAGTTTCCTTTCAGAAACAAAAATTGAAAACAAATTGTCCCATACACAAAACAAAGGGACAGATCCTCAGCTGGAATGGACTGGTATTACCAAGTGAGTAACACCCACTCACAGGAGAGATTCTGAGCCTTTTAACCAGCAGCTGCCCATCCTGCTGTGCCCTGACAAGAGCTTCTGCCTCCGGGTTTAGATGGCAGCAGTGCTGGATCTACGTAGCTGGGAAAAGATGAAGGGCTGCCTTCAGAGCAGCTGAAAGTACAGCAAGGCTCTGAGGACTCTGGGACTGTACACTTCCCAAACCTGGAGCTGACTCGAGGTGCATGAGCCAGTGGACATGACACCAAGAGAGCAACCCATATCAGCATGGCCCTGAAATTAATGAGCTGCTTTGGAGAAATGCTGGCAAAACTTCCAGAAACCATTACTTGTGGGGTTTGCTTTTGGAACAAGGGGTGGCTCTGATTCTTCTCTCAAAACCAAGATCAGGCTGATCATCATCTTGAAAATTACAGGAACAGTCCCCAAGAAAGTATTAACTGTACAGCAGAAAAAGGATGGACAGTGAGAACTGTGATCCATCCTGGCCAGTTCTGCCCCTGTCCCTCACCCACAAAAAATTAAAAATACACATATTAGGAGAATTCAGGAAGTACCTCACTTTGCCAAGGAACAGACCATGTCCCCATTGTCACTGTCTCCAGCAGAGATGCCCAGCTGAGCTGCTGGCCGGGACAGCCAGTGCTGGGGGAAGCTGCCTGGGACCCGAAAGAGCAGGAACACTGGAGCACTACTGGAAGAGCACCCATCCTCCAGGGTGCCCATCCAGGGCTGACAAGAGGTGGGTTTGACCACGTGCATTTGACATCTCCTCTCTCTTTACAATCCTCATTTTGGAGCATCACTTTTTTTTCCTCCCACTCGCAACATCAGCAGAGGAGCTGGAAAGCCAAAGTTATTTTTACGAGATGGTACATCTAGGCTCTGTTCATCTTGACTGGGTCCCTTTGAAAATGGCAAGGTTGGATAATCAAACACATTACACAGACTTTCCATAGAGACCACTTTGCAAACGAGCCTCCCACCATTCAGATACCCAGGCGCCAATATTTCAAAGAGGAGCTTTTGATGCTGCCCTGGTTTGCCTCAGCATGGTGACCTCACTAGCATTTATACACAGAACCTTGGAGAACAAACAGATTAAAGCAGCTGACTTTAAGTATATAAAATAAAACAATTAGTCATCAGCAAGCTACTAGAGGCTGCCACATTACACACAAGGGGCAAGAGACCATGAGCTGGCTGAGGCTGGCAAAGAAGAAGGCAGTGCTGCCTGGTGAAATCACCCACCCAGAGCAGCTCAGGTGGGAGCGCGCTGGTGTGATGGCTGACACGTCAAACTGGCTGGCACCAGGACAGGGACAGGAAGGGAGAACAGTAGAGCAGTAGAAGAAAAATACCAGGGGAGGAGCTGTGGCTGGAAGAGGCTCCATGATTCCTAGCAAATTAATCAGGGCTTGGCCAACTATCCCAGTCTGGCCACTGCTGTCTCGTTAAAGTCTCCAAAAGAAGGGGGGAAAAGGAGACACATCTGAATAGCCTCTTGATAATGGTCCATCACTCATGCTGAGTTTCAGACAATGTCCAGGACTGGCTGGAGGAGTCCTAGTCACAGTTCTGCCCAGGACAA